AAAAAAAACGGGCTTCTCAGACAACCCACGCGGTATTAGGACAATATTGGACAGAAACCATTAACTAAGAGGGGTTAGATGGAAGCATCGTTTTGAATATCCGCATGAACCTGAATGTTCGAAACTTAAAACAGAGGAGAAAGAGGACGTTAACAACTGCATTGCTGGCAAGACGCAACTGAACAATAAAAAAGGATAGCTGACCAAAGTACCAACAAACCGATTTCGAGAAACTGCTTCTTTCCAGCAAAGTCGAAGGATCGCCAAATTTGGAAAGCTCGCTTAGTTGCTTCAACAAAGAATACAGTTTGTCGATGATGTTCGGATTCAAAGTTCGAATGCTATCCTCATCAAGCTCCAGCAGACTCCTTGTTGTAACACTTCGCCATACTTCTACAATGCAAACTTACCGACAGTAATACAGTCTGCTCATTTGCCACGCCAGAGGCATGGACGGCGACAATTCAAGATCCTTGATAGAAAGGACGAATATTTCTTCAATTCGAATCTTTGATGATCATAAACTCTCAGTAGGTACTCATCTACAGCTTGATTGATAACATCACTTATTTCTCCCGAGTACTTCTTGATTGGAACTTCATTTCTGTGGTGCAGGAAAATATCGCGAACTATTAAGATTAATTCAAAAAGTCGAAACTCCACCAGTACTCTCTCTCCTAAAGAGGCAGATGCATCCAAAAACATTTCGAAAGCAGCGAGTGTCACTGGTAAAACAAAGGCTGGCAAGGCTGTCGGTGGCTCTCGTTTTCGAAACTTGCACACAAGCGTGCTAATGGCAGGTTTGACTCCCTGGCACATGCCATCGAAACGAATGAATGAATCGTTGATGGACTGATTGTCCTAGAGGTGTATTCGGAGCTCGACCGTTCGCAAAACAACAGAGCTACTTCCCGACGTGCCATGTGCGGAGAATTAAAATTAATTACTGGATAAAAAGTAGCAGCAATTAAGAAGACAAGCACTATTTAACAACTGCTTGCTAAAAAATGGTAATTTCGCTACATCTGGTACCATCCCAACCAGAGTCCATGAATGGCAAAATTCGCGATATAGGTAATTTCCAATGCAGGTCAAAAACAGCGGAGAAACAGCTGATGCCTTGTCAAGTGCTTTTGTCCGGTGAACAGCTGAGCTGGCTATTCCTCCACGAGACGAAGCAAAACTCAGAACTGCTAAAGCGTTGACTTTTGGGCAAAACCGCCCGTTAAAACAACTGATAAAGTTGCCAGCTTCACTGTTGTGCGATCATTTCATAAATTATAACCGATTCAATAATAATGGTTCGTAAAAATTTCGTTCAAAATTATCTCTTTGAGAGGCGAAGACACTCAAGAAATAGCTCAAACAATAGCAAGTTCCAACAGAAACTTAATTTAGCAAAAGTTGCTGATTCTTTTATTTTTCGGGGAAAGTGAAAAAAATTTTGTAAATTTTTCAATTTTATTTCAGATTACTCATAATTCTTATTCATTTTTTTCATGCTTTACGGCTAATTTTTTAAAAATTCTTGTTCCTTTCATTTTCTGAATAGCACTGAATGGAAGGACTTAGAAACTGGGATTTGAATGGAAACCAACCATCAATGATATCCGGGTTAATATCCACCGTTTCCATTTATTCCTGTAATATCTGCAAGCATATTTATAGGCCTAAAATGTGAGCAAGCACTTCTGCTTAAATGTACAGGTTCTAAAAGCGAGGCCAGATTTGAATCCTATAACTTTTCAAATTCAAAGGCTGGAAATTCCTAGTCCAATTCTTGCAGTTCAAGAATGTTCAAATTAAGAATTCCACTGTGGCACAAGTTTCCGCCTAAATGCACTTGTAATGAGTGGTAGAATTTCAGTGAAATTACTGTAAGGGTCAGACATACCAGATAAGGCTTCAGCGCAACCATCAGAACTTTACTACCTATCAAGCTCTGAAGCTGTACGGCTCTAAGGAAGAATGGGTAGAAATATGCGAAATATTCCGCCCGAAATTCTAAAATTTGTTTCACGGTAGCAAATATCCTGAACAAGATAACTAAGTGAGTTCGAAAAACATTGAACCCACGGGACGAAGGTCTCTCAGTGCGCCGTTATGCCCTTTTTTTGATTATCAATCTAAAGTATTTAATCACTAACATAGGCGTGCTGAAACATAAAAAATTTACTGGCAAACAGAATATAGCTTCCGATCGTCATCGATTCGAATCTCAAATTTAAGTAATTGAAACCTTCATTA